TCTTCCCAGTGGTTCCAGAAGCCATCTTTCCAGTGTACCTTGCCCTTTATGATTTACTTCCTTGGCCGCAATGACTTTGTTGAAGACAGACGTGAGGGGCTCATTCTCTCCAATCACGTGAGAAGTTATTAAAGGTGCCATGATTAACTGCCGTTGCCTGATATATGTTTCCATGGCAATCCTGAAGAGGAAAGAACAGAGGAGGAGGAGGAGGAGGAGGAGAAAAAGAAGGGGTAGATTTCCAGGTTCCCAACATTATTTGAATAAGAATAAAAAATAGGAAGATACTTCTTGCAGGAGGAAAACCTGAAAGACCAGGTTAGGGACAGATCGTCATGGATAAAATCTATCTATGTGATCACTAAGAGTAAAAAATGACTTGATGGCACATAATCAATCAATCAATCAATCAATCAATCAAATCTTGCAGGGACTGGATGAGCTAGTAGATCTCTGTTGATTTCAAACTGACTGGCAAACATTTCTAATCTCCTTTATTCAGTCATATGAATGGTTGAGGGGGTGGGGGGTGGGTCAGAGCTATAACTACTTGCGGTGCCACCTCCTGTCTCCCCCCGCATTCATCCCCTGCATTACGTTATCCCCCAGGACCCATCCTGTCTCACGCTGGGAAGGTCTGAACATGAGTTGTAGGCATGCTTGTCTGAATGTGAATACAGCTCTTTCCATGATTGGAAACTCTGATCAAGTGTAATTCTAATCAATTAAGGAAGCAATTCTATAGATGGCAGAAGAAGCTCACTGAACTCATTTCTGAATAGATGCCTATAGGACAACATTGACCAGGACTATTCCGTGATGGAAGAAGAAGAATAGCACAGCTTTCATCCACCCCTTTTTCCACCTCTCAAATTAGAGGGAGAGAGAAAAATAATGTTTCCCTTCAAAACCACACTTTTTCAGACATTCTGAATTCCCCCCAACAAAACACAACCACGGAACTTGCACAACTCCCTGCTTTTTAAAAAATACTTCAGTCCAAGCGAGCTCAATCTGCAAGTTCAGTGCTATACAAGCCTCCTCTAAACAATCAGATAGAGAAGTACAGTAAGTGAGCAAAGGTTTTCGAGGTCTAAAAATTCGGATCTTGGATGCTTTTGTTCCATTTATTGGAGGATGGAACATTTTGATTTTGGTCTTTTGGCTAAGACCAAGTATAATGTTTTACACACCTCTACTTGAGGGACACTCCCAACTCTTCTGAAGTTGCTGAACTAAAATTTTTATTATGACAGGGGAGGAAAACATTAGCACTGTATAGCATTTCAGACTTTAAGGCAAAAGATATTTCAGAGCACATGGGGGCCCTCACAGAGCACCTGTCCCAATGCCCTAAAAAGGCTCCCATATCATCTCAAGAAAAACTGTATTTCATTGAAGGAGTTACAGATTGGTGTTATATTTATGTGTGTACTTCAGAACACTTCATAATCTTTGGATCAGAAGTGCTCCACAACCCTTGCAAATATTAAATACATAGGAAGTCATCATATTAACTGCTTTAATTTCATTTAACGTACAGGCTTTGTCTTAGCTTACTCCACGTCTTTGTCCTGGACCTGCCCACTTTCTGGAAAGCACTAGATACATGACCATGAGCCCCCAAAATATGGTGTACTCTTTTTTGGAATGTTAACTACTTACTGCTGAAAGGGAACAAAATGCTGCTTCTCTTCATCATCCACCTTCCCATGAATGATATCTGTAATGTCCATCACTAGGGAGAAAACAGGTTTTTATCGATTACAGACATAGCAATAAACTTTTTCATCATTCTGGAACTTTATGTATTTCAAATCATTAAAAACTCATGCCTTCCAGATGTACTGGAACATCAATTCCCAGATATCTCATCCAATGTTACCAAAAGCCAAGTTGGCTGGGAATTCTGGAGCCCTAACATGTGTCCAGGACAACAAAGGCTAGTTTGAACCAAGACTTTAAACCAGACTCAGGAAACATGGGTTGGTTTACCTTTTATCAACCATGCAGTCAAATATAACTTGCTGGTTTAGGAGACTGTACACTGCTTTGAAAACCATTCAGACAAAGCGTGGCGCATGCAGCTGTTTAAAGCATTGGTGTCTTTCTCCAGGATTGCATGATTGGCAGGTGCGCGATAGCAGAAAAGAGCACAGCTGCTATGTTCACATCCCCACGTGCTCTAAATCTGAAGCACGCACTGTCCACAGGTGGTTGGTTCCTTCCTTCTGCCCTCCCCTTTTCATTTAAATAATTTATATGGCCACCAACCCACAGCAGTAACTTTGCACAGTGAACAGAAAATCAAAACCAAACGACAACCTCTAAAAAAGCTGATCTGGGGTTTGTCTGGGCCAGTTAAGAAAGGTGGTAGCATTCGGACAGTCTATAAACTCCCGCCGAAGGTCTCCTCTTAGCATGAACAACTTAGAATGAAGTATTACGGAATAGCGGCTTAACATCTTTTAATTTATTACAGGTACACCATCAAATTTATATTCGTAATGAAGTAGGTTCCTGCCTACACTATATCCCCTTTTGGGCCCAGAAAATACTTTTAGAGAATGTGGGAAAAGACAGCTATTGGAACAGGAGGACAGCAAATAGTATCTGCAAATGTTTCACGCTTGCCTACTTGTCCTAGCCACATCTTTTTTCCCCCCCAGCCATATCCTCATGACCTCTTAATCTCATCCACAGTTCATGAGGGAGACAGCTTTCACTTCTCCTTATCCATACCAGGGTCAAAGTAGTATTTGTCCCCAGTTCCAACATCATCCAAGAGCCACCTCAAGGTGCCCCAAATCTGCCTTTGTCATCCATTTCTTGGATGCCTGCAGCGATGGGGAACAGGTGAAAAAAGACAGGGACAGCCAGTTTCATGCCAGCATAGCTTCCTGATGGATCAAGGATGGAAAGCACTTCCACTCTGCAGTAGAGAAAGGCCCATAATCTTGCTTTTATCTTCTTGTTGCACTGGAACTCAGCATGCCAACAGCCAGGTGAGGATCTGAACCCAGGACTTCAACTGCTATTTTCTAATACAAATTCCTTGAAAAGAAGAGCTTGGCACCAACAACGAGCATCTGTACCTGCTACTCCAAAGGGTCTCCTGAGGCCACAAGTATGCTTCTTGCCCTCTTTCAGCTCCATGTGGCCAACTCGCACAATTTGACACACTAGGCTGACACGAGGCCGGATCAGGTCAGAACTGCTGAGATCCTAGGGGGCAACAGAAACCATCATTGAAGTAAAAGGCACCTGAAGCGTATTACATTGGCCTGTGAACACATGGAAAGAATATCACTATATAGTCCAGAACCCTGTGAAGATATGTAGCCTGCCTCTCTTTCTCTTTCTCTTTCTCTTTCTCTTTCTCTTTCTCTTTCTCTTTCTCTTTCTCTTTCTCTCTCTCTCTCTCTCTCTCTCTCTCTCCTTCCTTCCTT